CTGCGCCTCCGCTAGGGTTTAGGGTTTAGGGTTTAGGGTTTAGGGTTTGTGTGTTGGAGTTTCACGTGCACGGTTTATCCACCGGCTCGCACAAGCTGCAGCCACTACCCCGCCCCGTCTTGAAAGTCTCAGGCCTTGACATTTAGCCAGATTTTAGGGTTTAGGGTTTAGGGTTTAGGGTTTAGGCTTTAGAGTTTAGGGTTTAGGGTTAAGGGTTTAGGGTTTAGGGTTTTCGCAGCCGAACGTGGCGCGGCACTACGCGGACGCGAACGTAAACCGCCCGAGGCAGTATTGGGATTACGAAAACTTTGCTGTCAATTGGGGGCTTCCTGATGGCTATGAAGTGATAAGGAAATTGGGGCGTGGGAAGTACAGCGAAGTGTTTGAGGGGATTTGCGTCAGCAGCAGCAGCAGCAGCAGCAGCAGCAGCAGCAGCAGCAGCAGCAGCGGCAGCAGCAGCAGCAGCGGCGCCGCAGGGGAGCGCGACGACCCCGCGGCTGCTGCTGCTGCCGCGGACGCGGCCTCGGACGCGCCTGCTGCTGCTGCTGCTGCAGACCCCCAGCAGCAGCAGCAGCAGCAGCAGCAGCAGCAGCAGCAGCAGCAGCAGCGGAAAAGCCTCGCCGTGGTGGGCCAGCGCTGCGTCATCAAAGTTTTGAAACCCGTCAAGAAAAAGAAAATCCGAAGAGAAATTAAAATCCTCCAAAACCTCTTTGGAGGTCCCAACATCATCAAACTCCTCGACGTTGTCAAAGACCCTCTCAGCCGCACTCCCGCGCTCGTAAACCCTAAACCCTAAACCCTAAACCCTAAACCCTAAACCCTAGGCGCTCGCGCCTGCAGGCGAGACACGCGCGCCGTGCGCGAGACGCGCCAGCAGAACGCACGGGGGAGCTGCGCGTTCGGGGGGCTCGCGCAAAGTTGGTGGGGTTTGGGGTTTAGGGTTTAGGGTTTAGGGTTTAGGGTTTAGGGTTTAGGGTTTAGGGTTTGGGGGTTAGGGTTTGGGGTTTTGTGGGCGCAGATCTTCGAGTATGTAAACAACGTCGACTTCAAGACTCTTTACCCGACTCTTCAAGACTACGAAATCCGCTACTACATTTACCAAATACTGAGGGTGCGCTCTAGGGTTTAGGGTTTAGGGTTTACGGTTTAGGGTTTAGGGTTTAGGGTTTAGGGTTTAGGGTCTCCACTCGGCGACAAAGCCGCAAGGCGCTCGGGATTTATTTCAACCAAGGGAGGCGCAGAACACCAACTTTATATTCAAGAGCCAGAATGTTTAGGGTTTAGGGTTTAGAGTTGAGGTTCGAGGGTTTGGGGTTTAGAGTTCAGGGCTTAGGGTTTAGGGTTTAGGGTTTAGGGTTTGTCGTTGCAGGCTCTGGACTACTGCCACAGCCAGGGTATAATGCACCGCGACGTGAAGCCGCACAACGTCATGATAGATCATGAGAAGAGGTAGGCCTAAACCCTAAACCCTAAACCCTAAACCCTAGACGCATCATTTAGAGCATGCGCCACAGCGGAGCTGCTGCTGCTGCTGCTGCTGCAGGGAATTGCGTCTGATCGACTGGGGCTTGGCGGAGTTTTATCACCCAGGCCACGAGTACAACGTTCGCGTAAGTAGGGTTTAGGGTTTAGGGTTTAGGGTTTAGGGTTTAGGGTTTAGGTTTTGGAGCTCAGCTGGCCGCGTGAATTCGCAGTGCGCCCGTTTGAATTTCCGAGTAGCTGCTGCTTCCCTTGCTGGGGCGTCCACCGCGGATTTAGGGTTAAGGGTTTAGGGTTTAGGGTTTAGGGTTTAGGGTTTAGGGTTAAGGGTTTAGGGTTTAGGGTTTAGGGTTTGTGGATGCAGGTGGCGAGCCGCTACTACAAGGGGCCAGAGCTGCTGGTCGATTTGCAGGTTTATGATTATTCTCTTGACATTTGGAGTTTGGGCTGCATGCTGGCGGGCATTGTGAGCGAGGGTTTAGGGTTTAGGGTTTAGGGTTTAGGGTTTAGGGTTTAGGGTTTGGGGGCCTGGAGCTGGGTACGAGCATTTGCCAGGCCAGCTCCTGCGCAGGTGGTGGTTTAGGGTTTGGAAGGAGCCTGCGGGTCGAGCTGGAAACCCTAAACCCCAAACCCTAAACCCTAAACCCTAAACCCTAGCCTTCGTTGTGCTTTTCAGATTTTCCGGAAGGAGCCTTTCTTTTACGGACATGACAATTACGACCAACTGGTGAAGATTGCGAGGGTGTTGGGTGAGCCCTATACCCTAAACCCTAAACCCTACGGGGTGGAGTTCGCGGTTTGTTTGTGTTGGAACGTTGCGGGGCCCAGGAGTTTCTAGGGTTTAGGGTTTAGGGTTTAGGGTTTGCAGTGGTTTGTCCGCGCGACTGACCGCATTCGCTGGCATTTTGCGGGTTTAGGGTTTAGGGCGTGCACTGGCCTGGCTCCCTGGCCGGCTCCGCTTGCACCTTGAGGGTTTAGGGTTTAGGGTTTAGGGTTTAGGGCGTGCACTGGCTTGGCTCCTGGCTGGCTCCGCTTGCGTCTTGAGGGTTTAGGGTTTAGGGTTTAGGGCGTGCACTGGCCTGGCTCCCCGGCGGGCTCCGCTTGGACCTCCAGGCTTTAGGGTTTAGGGTTTAGGGTTTAGGGTTTAGGGTTTAGGGTTTGGCGTGCAGGAACTGAGGGTTTGTACGCGTACTTGGAAAAGTACGACTTGGAGTTGGAAAAGAACTTTTTGCAACTGATTGGAAAACACTCCAAAAAAAGCTGGACGAGATTTATAAACGAAGAAAACAAAACCCTCGCAGTTCCCGAGGCTGTGGACTTGCTGGACAAAATGTTGATATACGACCACCAGCAAAGAATTCTGCCCCGCGACG